AGGGTTCTATTATAGCTATGCTAGTAACATGCTCCTTGTTAGGTACATTAACAGGTAAGGTTATACTAGATTTTGATGGTACAACAACAGTATCTCTGGCTAAGACACGACAGGTCATTCTAAATTCTCCCCCTACCCAACATTTAATATCTGAATTTTCTGTTTGGAGTATATGAGATCTGTAGTCAATCTTTTTCACATGTTTAAGTAGGAAGTCTTGTCCTAAAATGGCATCAGGTGTGATATCACATACAATAAATTGGTGATGAAAGATGGCATCTCTTAAGGAAAACTCCAGATTTACCATTCCATATGTAGTTAAATTGGTCCCATTTACGTTTTGAAGACTGTAGGCATCCTGTGGACTTTCAATATTGGGGAAATTAAAGCTATTGGTTTTGATACCATTTGATAAGTATTCCTGATTTACATCTTGACTGGACTGGGAAATATCTTTATGAACTTGGTTTGATATAAGAGATACTGTAGAACCAGTATCTATCAGAAAATCTAGCTTATATCCAGAAATTGTACCATTTGTATACAATCCATTGTCCCATTGGTCTAAATGTTTTCCTACTTGTATTACTCTGTCATTAAATTCAGCATTACTCTCTCTATCCATGTCAGACCCTTCTAACTCCGTCTGGCCCCGGTCTGGTGAGCTGACGGGTAACCGTTTCCCTGGTTCTGTTGGTTATTTCCACTTCTTTGTCCTTGATAACTAGGACTGTTTTTCGCCCAGTTTGAGTTTGGTGGGGAGGCTTGATTTGGTCCAGCTTGTCTCTTGTATAAGGGGCAATTCCTATAAAAGTGGTCAGGAGAGTTGCAGGTAAAACAAGTTCTTGGGCCTCTTTGAGGGGTCTGGCTACTGTTTGAACCATGTTCTAGTCTATCTATTCTGTTAATAAGTTGCTGTAGGATTGATTCATTTTCTTTGCTTTGGACTGGTATGTCAGTATCTTGGGTGTTTAGGTAAGTCTTAGTGTCTGAAACTTGTCTTATATTTCCCCTTTTTCTATCATTAGGATCCCCCAAGAGAGCCTCATATCTCTCTATTAGGTCTACTGCTTCAGTAACTGAACGACAATCTTTATCTATACAACGACATTTCATCTCCAGGGAAATATTTTTAAACAATTGGTTAAGGGCAAGGACTTCTTGGGCCCTTGTATCTAGGTTACTGTATGCTTTTTGGGCCATTTGGCGTAAGTCATCTCCAAAATTTGCAATGGGCTCTTGAGGTTGTCTGGTTCTAGTTTCAAATCTTGAAAGCCATCTATTCTGATGTCTGGCATTTCCAAATCTCTGCTCAAGGGTTCTGACTAATAAACAATAGGATTTTTTCTCAGTACTGGTAAGGCTTATATAGAATGTCCTAGCTGGTCCCCGTAGGCTAGCAGCAAGCAAAAGAACTTTTTCAGATTCTTTCCATCTTCCAAGGTCTGCACAGTTTTCAAAGTGTGAAATATATTCTTCCCAACTGTCCTTTCCATTGTAAGGCTCTGGTTTAATGGTAGTTCCACTTATATTTCCTCTTGGAAATCCTACCGGTATCTGGTTGTCAAAATCTGGATTGTTGCCACGGATATTTGGGTTTCTGTCTGGGAAATCTCTCTGGTTTGGTACAAGTGGGTATTCTTTACGGTAAAAATTCTCGCCAACGCCTCGGTATTCGTCTCTTATCGGTACGTCACCTTGACCTGCTTCGTCGTCGTCCCCGGCGGTACCGCTACCACTCGGCCTTAGGTTCCGTCTGAACATGATTTCTCGGTCGGGAGATTCCTCTCGAGGTTTTAATAATTGGGGCGTCTCATTATCATCACATTCAAAGTCTGACATTTCTGCTGCTGCTTTATCAAAAAGATAACAAACATTATTTTGTGTTTGTTTTATAAAACTGATTACATTACAGGGTTAAAATACGGTCGTTGAAACGTCCCCCTTAACTTTAATTTATAAATACAACGGTAACGGAACAACGCAGATTACGATAAAAATTAACTGGAAACGTTATTTACAAATTTATTATTTACATATTCCACCACACGTCGAAGCTAAAATAATCCCGAATTGGCTATGGGTACGATCACGGGATGTCTGGAAAAATTGACATCCCACTTCTGACACCAGTGTAACAAACCGCCGCCACAGGCCGAGTAATTGTGGAAGGGTCTGTTGACAGATTTTTAGGGCCCATTATGCTCTCGTCCGGAATATACTGCATCTGCATCTTTGATTTCCTACCTCCGAAGACGAATGGATGCCAGGCAATACACTCATTATACTCCATAGTTGGGTTGAAAAATAAAGTTCTAACGTATATTATATTTATTTACATCTATATATATATATACACAAATGCAGACGCCTTAGTTAGTAATCATTTTCGGGACATTTAGGTCACTCAGTGTGGTGGGGGATAACTGCCGCTACATTACTTTCCCTTAAAACTACTTCTTCTTATCATAATGAATTAAAGTATATTAACCTGCTTGGCTTTTCTGTTTGGAATTGGTCTGGTAATGATAACTTTCAAGGAGATGGTTAAGCTTACTAGTTAGGCTTGAGCTAACAAGTTATCCGCCATTTCACTGAGCAGAGCCCTATTTATACTCTTTTGAGATCCCTGAAAGCCAATCGAAAATAAGGGATCTAGCCAGGGATCCCTGAGGGCCAATGAGAACCCTGTCAGGACTGACAGGAAAATGTCCGACAAAATAGGGGCTTTACAGGAAAACCTGCACATTAAGAAATAATATATAAAATGGACATTAAAATGCCTGTCCATTAATTATCAAAGGGATGGGACTTAGTTTTAACTTTTCCTTTATTAAACTTTATAGTTAGAAGCTTAAATATTTGTAACTAGACTTGTTTCCAAGTTCTAGCAGTGCGTAGTACTAGCAGACGCCGGGAGTACTTATATTAAATTCCAGCGGTAAACTGGTTAACAATATGTGCAGTTCAAATTAATGTTCATAGAGTCAATAATATTTTCTGTTGCAGGTTATCACCAAATAAAGTTTATATCCATCTGTAGTTGATTTCTTTCTTCTGTTGGCATGGTAAATTCCAGGTTGTAAAAATTATTAAATGTTATTTGTTCCAGTTATTACAATATTCATATTACATTAACATGTTCTCTTCCTGAATTTGCATATTAATAAGCCGCTGGACGTTAAGCCTCCATCCATCATCATCATCAAGATAATAGGCAAAAATTTAAAAAAAAACTCTTTGTCATTTAAGATATAAGAAGTTGTTTGACAGTTTTGATGTTGATAGATCTAATTATTCTGAACATTTTAGCCCAGTCAGATTTTATCTATTTATAACGGATTTCAAGATGATAGACAAAAATTGCATATTACCCCTATGTACTATTTTTAGCCATGTCGGCCATGTTAGTCAGCAGGCCTGGTCATAGGAAAAAAAAATTAAAACTAAATGCCCCAATTATGACTGTGGCCAAGTTTGGTTAATTTTGGCCCAGTAGTTTGAGAGGAGATGTAAAAGTTAACAAATGACTACAGAAGACTGACGTCAAGTGATGGCAAAAGCTCACTTTGTCATTTGGGCCATGTGAGCTAAAAAAAAAACCTGTTGTTGGATTACTGACTAATTGGTGTATATCCAACATCTCATTTATTCATATTGGTGAGAAATACCATTTGTTATTAAACTCAAAAAAGTGGAATCCTATGGCAATTATGGCCCTATTTTTGGGTGCTGTTCAAAAGTAGCATGTTCAGTTGGGTGGCTTTAGGTGGAGGAAAGAAATTATGTCGTCTTCATTTAAGAAGAAAAGAATAGAAATAAATGCTTCATACAGTTTAAAAATGACAAGAAACACTCAATAAATTACCGAAGAAATCAGACCAATTGAAAAATATTTATTATCATTTTGAGTCTTCCAAAATCAACAAAAGCCAATTTTGAATGATCTGTGAGGTATTGTCTGTCACCATCAACAACTTTAAAGTACATTTTGCACTTTTATACATGTATCTTAATGTATAAGTCTTATATGTTAAGATATACAAGTGCAAAAAGTATTAAATCAACATTACTATACTGTTTATTAGACTTTTCACCACATTTTGTGCCAGTATCAAGTCAGGCAATATGTTGTTTGTCTTTGTATTTATACGACTGCAAAATGTTTTGGCTTCCAGACAATAACCTGAGTATAAGTCTATGGATCTCTTTGAAATTATACCACAAGGTTCCATACAAAAAAAGGAAGATTGGGATTGATCTTGGGGGTTATGGCCTTAACTTATTAGGAATTAGGGGCCAAAAACAATACTTTTCTAATACTTTGTATAAATTACTTATTTCTTGACCAATTTCATTGGAGTTTAATTCAAAATCCTGAATTCTTGGAGTTCTTTAATCTGCTGAATCTATCTGTGTATTTGGTTTTTGGATTTTGAGCCGTGTTTTTAAATTGGTCCACACTGAGGTCCAATTGATTCAAATTTAAACTTTGTTTGATTTCATCCAAAATTGAATTATTGGGGTTCTTTGATATGCTGAATCTTAACATGTTCTAGGTTTTTGATTTTGGGCCCAATTTTCAAGTTGGTCCAAATCGGGGTAGCCGAATCATAAATATGTATTCAATTTTTGGACTTTGGAGCCCATTATCAAATTGGTCCACATTGAGGTTTAAAGGGTCCATTTCTTGGGGTTTTATGATAAAATGAATCTAACCATGTATTTAGATTTTGGATATTGGGCCATAATAGGTCAATGTCAAATTTCAAGTTCTTAGAACACATTCATTCTGTGTCAGAAACCTATGCTGCATCAAATATTTAATCACAATCCAAATTCAGATCTTTATCAAGCTTGAATGTTCTGTCAATACTTGCCCCAACTGTTCAGGGTTCGACCTCTGCTGTTGTATCAAGCTGCCCCCTACATAGCATTTTTTTTCTTTCAGAGGAGTCAGGAGTTGGTGTGGTCTTTCTTCACAAAATAAGGCTAAAAAGTGTAGTTAAAATTGGTACTTTATTTAAACATTATAAAACAAACAAAACAATATACTTTAATAAAAAAACAACTATATTTCAATATCTAACTTGTCAAAAATGCTGATAAGGCTATCTAAAAAGCCCTCAAACACAACAATTTGCAATGATTTCTGAATCAAAACAACTCCCAGAGGATGACTGGTTACATACTGGCACATAATCTTATCTAACTACCTCTTGAATTATGCTCACATGAAAATCTAGTTTTTATCATATCTACATGATCAATGATTTTGTGGCACTATAAAAATACCAAACAGGATGCAACATTGACAGGATAATATATAACCATAAGAAGATCCATCTAAAGTAGTAAGAAAATTTATACTTCAGATATCATTGACATGGTATAAAATCCTTTCAACATGGCAAATAAAAATCATCACAACATTTAAGATAAACTTAATACCAATTTTATCTGTGACACCAAAAACAAAAAAAAAACAATCAGGGTTCTGCTGTCAGCTTAAAAGTGTAATTTTGACAGCAAAAAAACAAAATCCATTTATCAGTAAAATACAGAAAAATCGAAAAATAATTTGTTTAACCCCAGACTGTATCTTATCAACGTTGTTCTAGTTTTGACATTGCCAGCAGTCATGTGATATTAATAGTTCACCAAGAATTTTTACATTAGTTTTAAATTTTAAAGGCACTTTTATGTGCTAATGCATTAAAAATTAAAAAAATATATATTCTCACTAACCATATATTATCTACAATATCTGCCTGTTTTTATTAGTCATGCAATGAAAATAACATAATATAAAATTTTCATAAAATACAACTTTTTAAATATTGTAAATATACATTCTAATACTTTGTTCCCATTAATATACAATATAAAAATACATAAACATTGAATCTAACCATAATATTGTGGTCAAACAATCATGTGAATGACCGTATCTAATCATTTATTTCTGGCTTTCAATAGAAATATTTTGATTAGCACCTTTATGAAAATCTGTTTTTGTTATGAGACTAGAATTTGATTCCAAAAAGTAAATGTGAAAAGATTGTCAAAAGTTTCTATTTTGATTAATTTTTTGAATAAAAAGAGAAAAACAACTTACCCTACTACTAAACAAAGACTTATTATTCATTATTATGCTGATGTTTGTATAGACACTGAACATTAAAAATCCATTAAGAGCATACAACAGCAGTAGCAGTAGCAGATAATGAATTAGTTATCTTACCAATTATTGCATGATTTCAGTTAAATTTTATCACATTTAACCATCATTTTGGTAACTTACTAAAAAACCTGTAAGCTAAGCTTTTGCTTATGCACTTTGCTAAGAAAAAGGATGAAAATTTCTCCTTTTTCTGTTTGAAAGTTTTGTTTTGTTCAAAATTACTGAAACATAAAAATTGTGTTTTTACCTCAAAGTGGCTCAAACATGCAAAATTGAAATTGAAATATCTCAAAAAAGTAAGTAATGAACATATATTTGTCTTTGCATATTTTAAGAGCGCATATCAACATTGACTATAGAATCAAAATTTAAAGGAAAAATCATTGCATTGTATGCCCTTAACATGTAAAAGAAAAACATAGAATCTATATATATATATTATAAAAGAACAGAGTTCCATTGTCCCCCACGTTGCACATATTTTATTTGTCCCAGAAAAATAAAAAATTTTGTTTTAGTTCTCTATTTCTTTTTTTATAAATATCTTATAGAAATGGTTTGAAAGCAATTTTCCAAACAATTAATATTTCCAAAAGAACATAATTCTTTTAAACATTGTTGATGAACAGTGATTTTCAAAATTGTCACAGACATTGCTGATATAAACCTTTAATATAAATTTAATGTATATCTGGCAAGAATTGTACACTTGAGAGCACTTAAAATGCAATTTTCCATATTATTAATATTTCCAAGGGGCATAACTCTTTAAAAAATAATTGACATCAGCACTGATTTTCCAACTTGTCAGAAACATTGCTGATTTAAACCTATGCTATAAGTTTCATAAAAATCTTGCAAGAATTGTAAACATGAAAGTGCTTACAATGCATTAGTTTGATCAAAAGGCAATATTGGTGAAAACAAATGTAATATATATATTATGTAGATTTGATGTTTTCAACAGCAGCCATGATATCTTTCAGGTCAGCATGATCGCCAAATTCTTTCTCATGATATTGGAATAAAACACCTTGCTCCCCTGGTCCAATCACAAATACACCTTCAAAAAGATCAAATATCTTTAAATACTGTACACTAGAATCTGTCTTGAAAAATCTATGCACAACTAGAGTAGTTTTATAAAACAAAGGTATGTTAGAATTTCTCATGGTAATCTTACCAAATTTATGGCAAATGGGAAACAGTGTCTTTATTTACTTTTTACATTCCTTTCCTTGATGTTCTGTTGACTACTTTTAACATGTTTCTCAGTTAATAAACATGTCTTCGTAATGACATCTCAAAGTCCATTGAACTATTTAAACATGTCTCCGTAATGACATCTCAAAGTCCATTGAACTATTTAAACATGTCTTCGTAATGACATCTCAAAGTCCATTGAACTATTCTTCTAATTGATCTATATCCTGCATGTTTCTAGTTTTCTACTTATCTTATTTATGCAAAGAAAGACAACTCTAAATTATTGACTTACTGCAACTTTTTTTTCATAATGATATCCCTTCAGAAATTTTCATTAAAAAAATACGTCAGTGTCTATGCACAATAAATTGTACATTTCATTGACTCATTAAGAACATCTTGAAGGGAAATGATATATGTCTGTCAGACAATTGACCTTGACCTCGTTTTCATGCTTTAACATCAGTCAAATTTTTGAATGAGAAATTATGCATTATAGAATGAAAATATTTGATATGTGTATTCATTACATGTAAATAAATATTAGAACCTGACTGATTTTATACGACCAGTTTGTTGCCCTTAATTTGGAGAGTTTATTGTGCCTTTAAAAAAATCCAATATATTGCAGAAGGCAAGGCATTTTAGTGTGTCCATTGTTCTTTCTTCATACAAATTGAAACAATTAAGAACTTGATATATTGTGTAGACACTAGTATACCCCTGTTTTTGGGGTTTTTTTTTTTTGGTTGGAATGCTGTCTCATTGGTTTTTTTATCTTGCTTCTCCTTTAATAATTTATCTGAAAAAATGTAGCTATTTTCAGAGTTTCATGAAATGACTTCTAGAGAACCAAGTTCAGTCAAAAACTGTAAAAATTCTGACATTCCCAACCAAAATAGCCTTTAAAAGATTGCTACAGCATGGATTTTGCCTTTAACACTTGGGAGGCTTATTAAATAACCAATTATACATCTTTTCACATACTATAGGAATCTGTGCATTTTCACATCCAAACATCCTACAGGTCAATAAGTTTTGGCATGAGGACATAAAAACCATATCTGGACCCCAACCATTCCATCAATTTGGTTTTTTTTAATTAATAATTACCATTATGGATCAGCAACAAGATATAGTTAATTTTAAAACGTAAATAAAAATAATATGCAAACTCCGACAAAGATGTATCCTTTCCAAAGAATATAAGCAAAAATGACAATGATACTTATGTGTCACCGCAGTGAGAAAACAATGACAGAAATTATCCTAATGCGTCACTGCAGCGGGACGACAATGACAGAAATGCTCCTTCCGTGTCACTGCAGCAGGACAACAATGACTGAAAGAGTGAAACTATCCTTATGTGTCACTGCAGCAGGACAACAATGACAGAAATTATCTAATAGACTAGATTCAAAGAATATCAACAACATTTAATATGCAATTCTTCGTATATTCTATGGAACAAGATTCAGGGGTTTATATTTAAATCTATGAGCTTTATAAATGGAACACTTAATATAAACTTGTACGTTAGATAATATTTCTATTTGTTGGATTTAACAAAGTTCAACATATCAATTACCTCCTAAAAGTCTTCCTTCACCTCTTAGATCACCAGGAATACTTTTCTTTTTTACACGATAGATATTTTTCATGACACCGAATCTAAGAAGACTAAACAATGATGTCCACCTCTCCTTTGGTCCATAAAACTTTTTCTACAATAATAAGATTTTACATTTCAACATTAAAGGTATAAAATTATCAAAGTTATTCTTAGAAATGTGAATACCGGTAGGTAAATTTTGTGCTTGTTGCTTAAAAAGTTTATTGGGAAGTAGCTTAAAAGGCTATAGTCCAAATAATTATGACGTCTTGAAAGGATAATTATTTGGACTAAAAAGGCTACAGAATTTAGGAATATTCTATTTGCAAATACTAAGAGAGTTAGTAATTACTAAAAGGTGTTCATTTACATTAATATGGTGATATGACATAGATAAATACAAATCAGAATCAGTATTGACCTATTATTGAATAGAATGTCCTTCAATTTAAAGCATTGTAAATCATGCCAATCAATGTTACATTAACCAAGTAATACAATGTGATGATGATAGTCTTTTGATATTCATTACATCACAATAGAAAGTAAAATACAGACAAACCCAAACAGAAGACTAGAATTGAGAATGGAGATGGTAATGTGTCAAAGAGACAACAACCCCACCAAAGAGCAGAAAACAGCCCAATGCCACCAATGGGTCTGTAACACTGGAGAAAATCCTGCAACTGCAGGCAGGAAAATTTGCATTTAATGTCTTTCAGAAAGAAATATCAAAATAATTTTAAAGAATCTTTTTTGAAAATTGAAAAAACATGAAGCTATACCTCCACATCTATATAAACATTTCCTTTGAAAAATGGTTTGAACTCGTCAACTCCCAGAGTCTCATGAACTACAGCATGTAGCTGGACTCGATGGGCTTCAAGTTCAGGTAACAGAGAGGACAGCCCAATAGCTTCCTAAAATAAAAACAAGAATAATATGTCTAACTGCAAAAGAATAACATACTTGTTAAAAATTTAATAAAAAATTAGGATGAAATTATGACACAGAGGCATGATGTTTTACTTTTTTTACGTTGTCTTCATCTTTATAATCCACATTTTTTTATGCAATATACTGCAAACTTCATAAAATATTAGATAAGGAAAATATTTTGAATTCAAGTTAAATTCTTCATGGATTGTAAAAATTTCATTTTCATTTTCCAGTTTCTGTAATTTGACAAATGAAAACTAAGACAAAGTCTATCTTGATTTGACAACAAGTCCACACTGACATATATCTTTGGAATGACATTTGGAATTTCATCTCTGTACTTAATGATTTTTTTCTTTCTTTCATTTATGACTCAAATGATTTGCATGCAAACTTTCAATTGTAAGCGTTACAATCAATAGAAATAAAAGTTGTTCTGTAGTCCATGTCAAAGACCGTTTTCATTACAAAAGCTGTACAGTATAAAACTGTGAAAGTACTTTAAACTACCTCTCTGCACAAAGATCATCCTGGTCTTCTGACTGCCATTAGTACCACACCATTATCTTTCCATAGATCTGTAGCCTATAACATAGAAGGTTTTGTTTTAACATAGCTCAGACGGGTCAATTTAATAAAGGTTCTAAGCCTAGTTAACATAGAAGGTTTTGTTTTAACATAGCTCAGACGGGTCAATTCAATAAAGGTTCTAAGCAAAGTTAACATAGAAGGTTTTGTTTTAACATAGCTCAGACGGGTCAATTCAATAAAGGTTCTAAGCAAAGTTAACATAGAAGGTTTTGTTTTAACATAGCTCAGACGGGTCAATTCAATAAAGGTTCTAAGCAAAGTTAACATAGAAGGTTTTGTTTTAACATAGCTCAGACGGGTCAATTCAATAAAGGTTCTAAGCAAAGTTAACATAGAAGGTTTTGTTTTAACATAGCTCAGACGGGTCAATTCAATAAAGGTTCTAAGCAAAGTTAACATAGAAGGTTTTGTTTTAACATAGCTCAGACGGGTCAATTCAATAAAGGTTCTAAGCAAAGTTAACATAGAAGGTTTTGTTTTAACATAGCTCAGACGGGTCAATTCAATAAAGGTTCTAAGCAAAGTTAACATAGAAGGTTTTGTTTTAACATAGCTCAGACGGGTCAATTCAATAAAGGTTCTAAGCAAAGTTAACATAGAAGGTTTTGTTTTAACATAGCTCAGACGGGTCAATTCAATAAAGGTTCTAAGCATAGTTAACATAGAAGGTTTTGTATTAACATAGCTCAGAAAGGTTCTATGCATAGTAAATATAGAAGGTTTTGTATTAACATAGCTCAGAAAGGTTCTAAGCATTGTTAACATAGAAGGTTTCGTATTAACATAGCTCAGACAGGTTCTAAGCAGCAATAAATTGCTCACCATATGCATCAGCAATTGTGCTTTCTAGATGTCCTGTCCATTATAACACTTTCCTAAGGAGGATCTTAAATAGTACATTTATCAATTTGTGAATTTTGGTTTCAAAGAGGTCATTAGATGAGATTACAGAGTTTACAGAGTTTTCTATTTAAATATTTGGTCAAATTTCTATAATAGAAAAACAAAGGATATGGAGTATCTGTCTATGACACCAAATCAGTACATCACAGCAGAAAACACACAAAAAGCAAAGGAAAAGCTCTTTTATTGCTGTTCTTCATCTCAAGTCACAGTGAGGCCTTCAATACGGAGCAAAAAAAACTCTCACCTCACTGTAAGTTTAAGACCGTTTATGTTTAACAGAGGTGGTGGTGATGTATGATGGCAGTTGGTGTCATCAACCATATGTTTTTCTTTATGAGAATCATAAATTTACCATTTCCTTGTACCCGGTAGTTTGGAATCAATCTCTCTGGACACATGATTTTAACAGATTTATAAAGTTTTACATTTTTAGTGATGGTTACATTAATGTAAGTTGGCAGTCATCAACCATTATTCTGAAAGAGGGTCATATGTTTATCATTTTCCTTAAATTTGGTTGGAGTGGGTTCATCACATAATTTTTCTGATATTAACTCTTATCATTTGATAAATTTTAATTTGATAGTAAATAGTAGTGATAGGATTGTTGATCTTGGACGGATACATTAGAAATTAAGGATGGACAAATATAACATTCATATCAAGACCAGGGATTTGGTTAAATTTTTTTAGAAAAAATGTAAACATGGTAAATGGTGAAATTTTTTAGATGTTTTATTATTGCAAAAATTGCAACGAGATGTGTCGCAAAAGTTAAAAAAAAAAACATTTTAAATTTGATAGCATTATTTGTATGCAACTTTTTATGAAATCGCAATAATTTAACTAACATTTATTTCTATTATTCAACAATTGCAATAATATAAATAAATGCACACAACAATTAATGAATTTACCATTGTTTACAGTATACTGAATTAATCATAATGAAAGAATCATCATTTTCAAATGATGAATGGGTTGATATATAACATCCAGTGGCAAATATAACATACATATCAGAGCAAGAATCTGTAAATTCATATGATATGAATGTGAACCTGCTTGTACTAGACATGCTAGACATAAACGTTTTAAGTTTTTGGTTTGAATGTTTGACCTGGCTGGAGATTGAACCCAAGAACATACATGTATGTACCTGAGATAGCATGCTACCACTAGGCCAATAAGGCTGTTTGTTGACCATATCAACCATAATTCTGAAAGAGGATCATATCTGTTGACTGATTTCAGTTCTAACTTTACATCAACATTCATTTGGTCTACATGCCTTGTTTCTAGTATATATCTGAGACCCTCCCTAAAATCTGTCTTACTTTAGCAGTTAAAGGGAGGTGGCTACAAGGTAGAATAATAAGAGTAAACTAAAATATATTGTGATTTACTGGTACATTAAAAACACGCTGAAATATAGCTTCAACTGAATCACTTTTTAATATGTTCTAAATCATTTTGTTTTCATTTAAAGGTCCATGGCTTTCATGTATATCATGTCATATAATATATTATGTACTTACTGAAAAATTGTTTTTTGTCTGATCTATTGTCTGTAGTTTGCAAGTCTGTAAATACTGAAGAGTAGCTTTCTCGGTTGCCATGAAGAATTGAGTGGGTAGGTTTATAAGGATAGCAGCTCCAGCAGTTATTCCTGCTATACTTAGTAACGCTTTAGATATTGACATCACCCTATAAATAAAAAAGTTCAAATAAACAAAGAATTTAGAAAGTTTCACATATCATGGTGATATTGTCTTCCTTTCATTGCATAGAACCTTGAACAGATCAACTAATGCATGTGAATATCATCTAAACAATAATGGTTGTTTTTCTATTCACCCTCAATGCCCCCACCTGAATCCATTCATGAACCAATCTTTTAAATAATACCTGTAGGATCTTTGTGGGGCTTGTTGGGAAGGAGTCTATCCTTTTTGTATAGCCCACCATATTTTGTTTAACTTTTGGAAACTTATTACAAATATCAATCTCAGAACCTTGGTTTCTTAATAATTTCAGAATCTATCAACGGAGAATAAAAGAAAAGTACAACATGACAATGTCATTGTTTTATTTATAAAAAGAGAAATAACCGTACCTGTAGTAAACTTATTACAAACAGAATAGCACATCCTAATTTTTAAGGTGATGTTGTTTAACGAGCCTGTAAATTTAAATATGATCCAGGTAAACTTATCCCGCAAACATGTTTACCCCTCCACATTCTGTGTGTGTCTGTCCCATACCATGTCAGGAGCCTGTAATTCAGTGGTTGTCGTTTGTTGCTGTACATCATATTTGTATTTCATTTATTTTTTTTAAAATATTTCTGGCCATTAGTTTTCTGGTTTGAATTGTTTTACATTTGTCATTTCAAGGGTTTTTACAGCTTGCTATGCAGTATGGGTTTAGCTCATTGTTGAAGGCTATGTGGTGACCTATAATTGCTAACATTCAATGCCATTTGGTCTCTGGTGGAGAGTTGTCTCATTGGCAATCATACCACATTGGTAATCCTATTTTTATATTGTAATGCTGGAAAATTTAAAATGATTCACATTACAATTAGGCACTGGCTACGGTTACATTGAAATGTAACAATAATAAAAAAGTTATTGTTACATTGGAGACTAATTGCCGGAATGCAGGGTTGGGTAAGGAACTGATTAATTATGAATGTAACAATAATATTCATGTCAATGTGTGTCTACAGTTACGTTGTGTTATTGTTACCTTAGATTAATTAAACTTTAACCTTTTTTAGTTTTGTTGCTTAATTCTTTGATATGTACTTGATAATAATAGTAATTATAATGATAATAATAATGATATCTGTGGAAAGACCTATTGTATTTGTTCTGATTATTATTATTTTTTTCTTCCGCCAAATTTTGTTCTCGCGTAACAGTTTTGTTTCGCAATATGTCGCTAAGATATTTCTTATATAGTATCATACAGTTTATGCGCTTTTTATTTTCACACATTCTAAGCCAAACAATTTTCTTTGTAAGAGTTATCTCCCTATTCACTGTTTATCAAGTGTGTGCATCTCCTTCATAACAAAAAAAGATATCGACAAAATTCTTTTTCTGAATTGTTCATTACATCCTCAGGAATTTTTGGCTAATTTGGATCGAAGCGATTCGATAAAATTTTATAGGAGTTATCTACCTTTACAAAATAAATTTGTCGGTATGTTGTTTTAACTCATAAACCATTAGCCGTATAACCATGGAATCTTTTTATTTGAGGTCCCTAGGTCCTAACTTAGAAAATGAGGTCAAGTTCAAGTTCTCAATTTTGACTTTTCCTTGTTTTTGCATTTTCTCCAACACTTTTAAAGATATATATGAAAGAACAAGTGCAAAATGTTTGCTTTATTGTAATGAGGATATGTTACATTTGGTTTGAAACAATCTAATGGCATTTTATAGGAGTTAGTGCCCCTGAAATGTCTAATTATAAGGTTAATTGATTATTACTTCAACTTGGTTCATTATAAAGCCATATGACCTTTTACAAAAGGTTGGGTGACATATGACCTTGAAAAATGACAACCGGAAGTGAGAAAACCGGAAGTATCCATTTTTGCACATTCTTCATGGAAAAGTACTCGGAATCCATATATTTTGTAATTTTAATGCATTAACTTATCACTAAAGACTAGAAATGACTTTCAATAAACCGGAAGTGGCCAATTATCTCCTGGTCTACAGGCAAAAGTATATAGAAACTATATTTTTGGAATCAGTTTGAAAGAAACTATCATATGAGACCGGAAGTGACATTTGCTTCACCGGAAGTAGCTAATTATCGCCCTTATTTCACTCAGAAGTACTCGGAATCCATATATTTTGTAATTTTAATGCATTAACTTATCACTAAAGACTAGAAATGACTTTCAATAAACCGGAAGTGGCCAACTATCTCCTGGTCTACAGGCAAAAGTATATAGAAACTATATTTTTGGAATCAGTTTGCAAGAAACTATCAAATGAGACCGGAAGTGACATTTGCTTCACCGAAAGTAGCTAATTATCTCCCTTATTTCACTCAGAAGTATATAGAAACGATTATTTATTGCATCAGTATGAAGAAACTGATAAGATGCCAATTTTAACTTTGAGTAAACAAGAACTAGCTTCTTTTCAATAAATTTGAAAATTGCTGTGAAAAGACCTTCAATTGTTCTCTGAACAATTGGTTTTTAATTATCATTATTATTATTCATAAAATAGTGTTTAAGTAGTTTCAAGTATTAATTGTTTTAATGTTCATCAAGATACTACTACAGTTTAGTAGTGCCAAAGGCAAACAATATAGTTCAATGGTTCGATGTTAAGAAAAATATTTTTCACCTGAAGCATGGAAGACATTGAAAGTTTCTATAACTTCTAAAAGGGATATTTGCAGTGGAAAGTCTGCAAAACCGATGTGCACATTGCTGCATCATTCATTTTGGATGGCTGCCTACAGTGATTTCACCAAAAATGCGCCGGACTGAAACATGCTCCCAAAACAACATAATGGATGTGAAGAAACTGACATTGTAAATAAGAATTAAAAATTGTATGCAATATTGTAAAATTCAAATAAAGTTTTCCAGGGCTGCCAACTCTCATGCATTTAGCGTGAGACTCACGCATTTTCATGCTTATTTGGCGGCATTTTCCTTTGATCTATTGTTTTTTCTCTTTGATCTTTACGATTTTGGCCAAATCTCACGCATTTGCATTATTAAAAGTTGGCAGAACTGGTTTTCAAGTTTTATTTTAATACATATTACAAGTCCCAGCATACATTGAAGTACATTAACGTAATTAATCGGTTCCTCACCCAACCCTCCATTCCGGCAATTAGTCTCCAATGTAACAATAACTTTTTTATTGGCAGTGTCTGCGCGTACCCGCATGTGGGTACGAATAGCCAAATTGCCGTTCGTAGGCTACGCGTACCCGCATCTGGTTTTATAATAAAATGGCATCGGATCGGGAATGAAACGTGAAATATATACGGAAATTATCGCAATTAGTGAATAAATTGATTAAAACTACTTAGAAGTTTCATAAATATTTATATATAGATAAGTGAACAGTTTTTTCTCAGTTAATAAATAATCTTAAAAACGGAAGAGAGTGATATACATGTGGGGAAGACATTTCAAAGTTATCATGAATAGGAACAATTTGTTCTAAACTATATATCAGTCGATTAATTTTATACAATTGTATAAAAGAAACTCGGAGTCAATTGCAGCCGCAGAGAAAAGAATAACTGGAAACACAAAAATAAAAGAGGAATTAAGGTTTAACAGAATTAATTTTTCCTATATTCACGGAGGCAAAAAATTCTAAACAAGTTCGACAGGAAAAAGTCTGATGCCAATAATCTTCTAGAAGCTTCGTTAATAAATAACAAAATATTTGACGAAAATGTCAATCTTCAGCGCATCAAAAAATATTTTACCTCTGAAGCGTGGAAGCAACTTAAAATTCGGATCAACTAAAGAAGAGAATCATGCGAATGGACATGTATCAAATGTCAAAAAAACCTACACGATCAGGACTCTTTGGCCTGTGATTGTTGTTTGGACTGTCAACATTTGAAATATGTGCCAAAACAATCCTATTGGATATTTAAAATTTGTTCCAAATCTTAATTTACTTACATGAATCTTTTAAAATTGATTTAATTTGACGCCTTTATAACTTGCTTCTTTAATTTTTATATAGACACCCAAGCTTTAATTTTAGTCGTTTAAGATATTTTAAAATTTCAGTTTCTGTTTTACATTTTACTCAAAGATTAATTTTAAATCTCATATAGGAATTTTTCAAATTCAGTAAAATTTAAGTCTTAAAATTTGAATTTACATTTAATAATAGTATTAAATTTTTTTCAGGTTTACAGGTAGTCCTATAATATATGCCTTCGCATTATATATTCACTATTTAAAGTTTTCATGCTGATATTTTCATTTTTTTTAATGCGGGTGGCACATTGATAATAATAATAAAAAAGGAAAAATAGCAAAATAAGTAAAAAGAAAACAGAAATAGAAAATTTAACTCGGGGGCATTATTTTCATTTTCAATGAGTGTGCATTTAATTTGCAATGTTTATTATGTATTATTAACTAATAAATACAATTTGAAAATATTATTTTTCATACTCTTCGCTCGTTCTACACGAAATCCCCATATTATCGATAATTTCTGTATATATTTCACGTTTCATTCCCGATTCGATGGCATTTTATTATAAAACCGGATGTGGGTACGTGTAGCCTACGAATGGCAATTTGACTATTCGTACCCGCATGCGGGTACGCGCAGACACTGCCTTTTTTATTATTGTTACATTTCAGTGTAACCGTAGCCAGTGCCTTACAGTTACAGTTACAATTATATTAAAAAAAAACATTGAATCACTACAAAAAAATAAGTAAACTTGTACTGTAAAATTACTATAAGGAATTGACGTCTCGAAAGCCTTCCCATGGATAGAAACAAGCGCCTCAGTTTTCACACCTTCGACCTGGTTACAACTAAGAATAAAACGTTATAATTTCTTGTATAAAATACAGGTCATATTGTATAGCAAAGAAAGATATATTAATACTATAGATTACTTGCATACCTGACCCTTGATGTTGATCTTAATATAGTACGGATACTATGGACATTATTACACCGCGTGACATATATTTTCTCTGCCTGACCTCAGAGACCTGAGATCAACCTAGGGCGCTCATCGACTAGGGAAAGACATCAATAATTTCGTTCTCACTAATTAACGACAATAATGAACCAATATTGCAGTGGTGGATCCAGGGGGAGGTCCTGGGGTTGGAAACCCCCTTTTTTAACGATCTATGCTTTTGAATGGGGACATATGGTTGTAACCCCCTTTTTTCCTGGGATGGGAACCCCCCATTTGAAAAAATGGCTGGATCCGCCTTGAATTGTATTTTAAGACTTGTGGACCAGTTCTGGTCATGGGTGCAGTCCGATATGGACTCCGATCACGTTGTGGACAGTATGCATGACTTTCATCTTTTAAACAGTACAAGAAATGACTGAGCCAAATGTGTGTCCAACAATTTTTGATACCACTGTTAAGTCTCCAGAGGAATCTTTAGATTCAGTTGATCAAGGCAATAAACGCAGTGACACATGTCATGTTGAATTATTATACCGATGTTAAGGTAGACAGCACATCCTGCACGCTCGAGCCAAATTAATCAAATATTCAAAATGAAAATATCATTAAAAATATTTAGATAGGAAGTTTCTATCTACTGATCAGCTTTTAAATGTTCTGGTGAATGGAAATGTGTCTCATACTGAAAAATGCCTGGCCATTCTCTTGAAACTACGAATAAAGCCACTGCCGAATATATAGGAACTTATCCTGAGGGCTATTGAAATAGTTAACAAGCATGGCTAAAATAACAAATCAAGAATATAGCAGAACTTCACCTGAGACAAAAACACAAGTAAGATCAGAGATAGAAGCTGGTATATCAGTCAAGCAAATTTTCACTGATAATTTTGACCCTGAACATCAGCAACGAAACTCAAAATATGTCCAGAACATAAAGTACCATGTGAATAATGAAAAAAATCCTTTAAACAAACAAAATATTGTTGATGACATGCAAGCTGTCATCAATATGAATTCTGCTAAACACCCTTTTTTGAAAGAGATTGTTCAGACCACAGGCAAACCACCAAGTGTTATCTGTTATACAGATTTTCAAATGAAACATTTTGCCACTGCCTGTAGGTCCTCAATAATTGGTGTTGACAGATCATTCAATCTGGGCGCATGATTTGTTACGACAACTGTTTTATAAGAAAACAAACTAAAACGCAAAGGAAAAAAACACAAACCCAATAATCATGGGACCAATTTATTTGCATTGGGATGATGCTTAGCACACCTGCCAACGTTTCTTCACACACATTGCATCAGTGCTTGGCACCACAATTACATATACTTTGCTTAGTTATAGCCTTCTTGTGATTGGTTCAGATGAGGAAAAAGCTTTAGTCAAATCTATGAAAGACAGTTTCCCACATCTGAACTAACGTTGTACACAAGGCACTTGAGTGAAAATGTGACGAGGCATTTGCGAAGGAAAATTGGCGTAAATGATAGTAACGCAAAACAAGTTTTATCAGGTTTTTTTAGGGGAAAGGGGCCGGTCTGATAGAATCTTATACTATAGTTGATTTTACTTATAAGGTAATTGAAATACAAAGGAAATATGAAGACTTCGTTGGTTCATACCTTTCACAAAAAGTTTCCCTACTATATATATATATATATATTAGGGAATACGTGTACAATGCACGAAAAACAGTCAAGAATTCCATTGCAATGGAAAAACAACAATTGTGAGTCAATTAACCATATCTTGAAACTAAATCAAGATTGGAATCCTGAAAAACTACCAGAGTTGATTAACAAAATTCACAAAAGAATAAAATTGTAAGAAAGTCTTGTCAATGGCGCACTTTATCGCATGGAGACTTTGAGTTAAGCTCCTCAGTTAGCCATTTACAATGTACAAAATCTCTCTGGCAGATTAAATCGGACAAAGAAAGGGCATTAGCATTGTAAAAATTCTTGACTTATGGGAGAAAGGTAATAAAAAATCCGGATTCCACCACTTCAACATGCAGATGTTGGGCTGACAATGCCCAAAAACACGTGCATCTGCACGTAAGCCTGGTCAAAGGAAACGTACCAAAAAGTGACAAAACTGTATCTTCAAAAAGGGCTAAGATACAGTGAACCTTAGTGGTAAAAATGTCTACTGCTTATCAAAATTGGTAGACCACCATGTACATAGCGTATAATGATTATGTTAGATATTAATGTAAATAGTACTATTATAACTAATATAATAATAAAAAAAATATGGACCTCGAGGTAGAACCACGTCCTTGTGGGGTCTGGAAACACGCAAAATAATAAAGATTGCAAAGCGTGGCAGAGTTCTACAAATGAAGCATCTTCAAAATTGGCAAACCATCATGTACATGATATAGCCTTTGATGATTATGTTAGATATGAATGTAAATATTACTGTTATAAAACAAAATATATTGAACTCAAGGTAGAACCACATCCTTGTCGTGGAGTCTGGTTGTTTAATTTCTTCATCTATCAGTATAATGAAACTAGATAGCCTGTGTCGGTCACCTAGGTCTATGTGCCTCTTCAACATTGTAGACTTCTGTTTACAGTTTCTCTCTATCTATTTAGTTTTTGCCCAAAACACAAAAGAGGGTAATGAAAAATCGTCATTGAAGGGCAATCACTCCTATCTACTAACTTTTTTGGCAGAATTTGGCCTGATTGTAGATCTTGTCTTGCTGATCATTTTGGTACTTTAAAGTTTCTATCTAATTTTTTTTTTAAGTTTTCAAGATAATACGCAACATTATGTTGCTAAGTATGTCTTCTTGTCTCTTCTTCAGGTTGGGGACAACCCACCAAATGGGGAACTATTCCCCAAATGAGTAGCCTAACAATCCCTCATTTGAATAATCGTTTGATAGTGCTAAAAAGAAAATGTTCTTAACTGGATCTTTTTACTTAAAATGGCATAAATTTATGGAGAATGGAACAACTTCTTTCAAAGAACTATATTTTAATTTTGAGTTTTTAAAAATTTAGTAGCCAAGAAAATTATCAATTTTTCAAAGTTTTCATAGACTTGTTACTTCTCACTAAATCAAGTTAGGGCTTTTTATTTTTCGGAAAATTTGCTGCATTTTTTATGAATATGTGCCATTTTAATTAAAAAAGACTCAGTCAATAAAATTTTGTTAATATCACTATCAAATGATTACCCTAATGAGGGATTGTAACTCATTTAAGGAATAGTTCCCCAATCCCCATATGCCTATGGAGTTACAACTGAAAATCTTATACATGGTGAAGTAATTGCTTCGTACATACAAAAATTAATTAATAGCTCTTTTGAATTTTGTTTTATACCGGACATTATCAAATTTGGAACGTTAAAACCAGTCTTCAAAAACAAAGGCAACAAAAAGGATGCAAAGAATTATAGAGGCATCACAATAACTCCAACCTTGTCGAAAATTATAGAAACGGTACTAAAATTTCGTATCAATCCAAAAATTATCTGCTTACAAAATCCACCACAAAGAGGCTTTACCAAAAATGCATCTCCATTATATTACTCATTAATTATGGAAGAATTTCATAGGGAAAATAAAGATTTGAAAAGAGAGACAATCTTCGTTATGCTGGATGCTAAATCGGCTTTTGATGTAGAAAAACATTCAAGCCTTATACGGAAATTATTTCATATGGGACTCACACCGCAAGAAATATTAACGATTGATGATCTGTATAAAAATGCAAAATCGTGTGTCAAATGGAACGGAGAACAATCTGACCCATTCAATATTAATTGAAGAAGGAGTCCGTCAAGGCGATACACTTAGCGCCGACCTAAACAAAGTTTATGTAAATGAGCTGCTCAATGAAATATGCAATACTGGATTTGGAGGCCATATTGGAACAATAAACTGTAGTGCACCCACATGTGCTGATGATTTGACCGTCACTAGTAACTCTCAGTTAGAAGCACAAATATTAGTCAACATAGCAAATGACTACAGTAAAAGAGAATCATACATACTACAACCTACACAAACCAACAGCAATACCCAAAATGATGTGACACTTCTTATGGATGAAAAGGAAATGCAAACAATTGATAAAACCACCCATATAGGCATACACAAATCAACCAGCAACACCCAACTTATAACAGCATGCAGAAGAAAATATTAAGAAAGCTAGAAGAGCTCTGTATAGTTTAATGGGCTCGATATAGTGATGACCAGTACCAAGTCACTAAAAATATTGCAATCTTTTTACAAGAAGACGATTACACAAATTCTATCATGACCAAATACAACTGCTGACCCAGCTATAAACCTTTTATCTGGATTGCTACCTTTAAATGCTGAAATAGACATCAAAATTATAACTTTACTTGGAAATATCTCATGCTCTAATAAAACTACTGTTGAATGGAAGATAGCTAACCGTCAATTGAAAATAAAATCAAGCAAAAGTAACAGCTGGTGCACAGATGCAATGCTTTGCTTTAACTACCAATTAGATGATCCTGTGACTTTCTTAGATACTGTATACCAACTAAGACAACTTGGATGAAATGTATGACCAATAAAATGAAAACATTTTGGTACAAAAAAATATAAGTTGAGACAGAACAATTCTCTAGTCTACAATATTTATCTCCAATATACAAATTTGGACATTGTCATGCATTAGTATGTATAACAACACTCAATTCTAAACTTGTACACAAATTGCCGCCGAGAATAAAAATTGCTTCAGGTGGATATATTCTACAATCACACAGAGCCAAATATAACTCAAATGGAGTGGAACCAACATGTCAGCTGTGCCAAAAAGGAGACGAAACACTATCTCATTTCTTGCTCATATGCGATGTACTGGAAATAGTAAGAAAACCAATGTTAGAGAAAATTATTTCAACATCTGGTAGAATTTTTTCTAAAGACTATACAGTCATTTGAATTGCTTATGCGCATATGTGATCCGTATTTTTTTTTACAGCATGAACTATAATAATCAGAATATATTGAACAATATATCCAAAGTACTGGAATCTCAATGCAGGAAGTTGATACATATACTCCATATAACCCGATATAGACTACAGAGCTATAATGATGGAAAACAACAGAAAAGGAGAAGAAAAATATAACATTAATACGGGTGGGCGTGTCTTGGCATAAGACAGTTTCAATATCCAGTGGCGGATCCAGAGGGGGCGTAGAGGGCGTACGCCCCCCTTTTGACTTGCACCTTTTTTTTTAATCAAGACTTTAAAATGATTAATCAGACTAGATTTCGTTAACTTTGCCATTTCCCGTATATTTGATTTTTATGCGACAATTCGTTACTTATAAAGATATTATTCGCTCGTATTTACGTGTAATATATTATTGATTATGTCAAAGTCACCGTGGAGTTGACCAGTACGTCGAAAAAACGTCCCTCAGACATTTTGAAATTCAAAATACAGTAACACATTGCTAAGGCTGAGGATGACAAGCATGACGCCTTCAAGGCGACAAAGGATGGAACAAGGACGTATTGACTCCTCTTTCATAATTCCACCCAACAGAAGGTAATACTCTATTACACTCACATGATAAAAAAAAGTTCCTCCGCTATAATATTTACCTACGAAAACATGTTTAACCCCACACGCCCCAGCCCATTAATAACATTGCTGAATAATGATCCCCAGTCAGTAATCTCTAGATAGATTAAAGGTCCAAGGTACGGACCATTTGATTTTCGTGGGGGGGGGGGTCTGAGATATTTTATAGAAAAAAAATTCTGGCCCTGATTTTTGCCTTAAAAAAAAATTCTGGCCGTACCTGGGTTGAAAACAATAATCTTGCCCACTTTTTTTACTATTAGAAAAAAAATTTCCAACAAAATTATTTAGCTTTAAATGTATAAAAAACGGGCGTAATTTTTTTTTGGTTCGCATGTAAATCCCAGGCCACCCTCAGAAAATCATATGGTCCGTGCCTAAACTCTTGTTGGTATTTGAATTACTATTCTTGTGTTTCTTAATGTTTTTAAAAGAGTTTAGACTAAAGAGAGGGATGTGGCCGGAATGTCTGTTTCGCCGAACTGGTATACTGAGTACTTTTTTCAAGTTCGCGTGTGGTAGTGGAGGTATGGTATCATGCTCCAGATTTTGGAGGTGTGCCTTGACTAGGCGGCAGCACATATTATACAGATTACAGATCCAATGAATATTTGTTCGCAAAAGATCTGTTTATTTTCCAGCCTAATTGCTGTATAAATTTAATTTCACACGTCGTTATACTAGCTGTTATATTTAATTTCAGCAATACTCAGTTCACTGGTAAAATGGATTTAAACCGGATTTTAGATTAATGTTCAGGTTTTACTGTACTCTCAAGGATTTATATAGTACTATATAAATACTTGTTACTTTAAGTCAGTCTATATTTGGTGACCTGGCTGTTAGGCTGACATAAACATGGCAGAGACTATACCCGAAATAAGTAATGTATTGAAGGAAGCAACAAATTCTTTTCAACAGAAATTCGGGTACAAACCAGAAAAGGCTGCATACGGCCCAGGAAGAGTAAATTTGATCGGAGAACACACCGATTACAATGATGGATTTGTTTTCCCGATGGCAAGTACAATAAATTAGTTATCTCTGCTATATTCTCTTAATTAAAAGGTCTCTAAAGTAAAATAGTTTAGTTGTTTATCGAGCTCAACTGAAAAAAAAAAAATTATTTTTGAAACGCATGATTTATATAACTACAAAATATACAGCTTGTTAATATTGTATTCTTTCCATTGTTGACTGGAGGTGTATATATATTTGAATGGTTGTGCTTTCAAGTTGGGTCTTGGCTGAAGAAAAGTTGTATGTGAACAGAACCGAAGACAATTAATTATAATTGTTCATGTAAATTTACACGTTTCAAAAGAAACGACATTCAAGGTTGTATGATGACGCAATGGGAAAAGCTTTCACTTGATTGGTTACAATACACACACCTACTTTTTACAGTAAAACATTTCTGGCGGAGTTGTTCTGAACTTGATTGGTTACAATACACACACCTACTTTTTACAGTAAAACATTTGTGGCGGAGTTGTACTGATCCTACACCCAGAAGGAAATACAATTCTAGATACAACTAACTGGACATCACTTCTTGTCTTACATCCAAACCATATAGTCACTTGTCTCAGAATTTTGTCCCCCAAATAACCTAAATATAGGATATTTTTTTCTGAGACAAGTGCCTGTGATCCAAACATGTCAATATAATACTTCCATGATCCATATATAATCAGAGATATTCTATATAAAAATAAGAAAATGTGGTACGATTGCCAATGAGACAACTCTCCACAAGAGACCAAATGACACAGAAATTAACAACCATAGGTCATCTTACGGCTTCAACAATGATCAAAGCCCATACAGCATAGTCAGCTATAAAAAGGCCCCAAAATGACAAATGTAAAACAATTCAAACGAGAAAACTAACAGCTTAATGTATATGTACAAAATAATGAACTACAAACAAATATGTTACACAGCAACAAACGACAACCACTGAATTACAGGCTCCTGACTTGGGACAGGCACATCAAAATGTGGCAGGGTTAAACTTGTTTGAAGGCGCAACCCTCCCCCTAACCTGGGACAGTGGGTGTAACAGTACAACATAGATAGTATATTTATGTTCATATCAAACAGAAATACGTGAAAAAAATTGAAATTAATAGAAAACCAAAAATAACAGATTTCAGAAAAAAGGGGGAGGTCTAAAAAAAAATATGCCCTGTCCCCAAGTACTTATGCCCCTGAGGTCATTAAACAGCGGTTTTCCAGTGGGAAATTATTAAGTTAGAAAAAGTACTTAATGGGTTTTTTTTATTATTAAATTTAGTTTTATAATTACTTCTTGTGTCGCTAATTTGTAAGATGTAGGTATTGGATTGTTTAGATATAAATTGAAATGTGTAATTTAAGTTAGATCAGTTGGCCCTAGCCAGTGATTCCGGGGGAACATGTATACACACTAATCCATGGCAGATACAAATTATGGTAGTGTAGGGTTAATTGCGAACATGAAAATGCTTTCTGACTGGGGATCAGCCAGGCAAAAAACATGCCCCTGGCCAAGTTCAGAAATGCAAAACTTTCACGATATATACTTCCCCAAAAATGCCAAATTGTTCAAATACAATAAAAAAATTAACAAATAAATAAATAAATAAATAGATCCTAAATTTTCAATGATTAAAAAAACTATATGATGAATATCAACATATTCTTTTATGCCATGTATTTGAAATACTGTTTTGTCTTTAAATATGCATGTTTTAGGATCAATATTAACTCTTTCCATTTGCATGATTCTTTGAGGCATTTCTACTAATGTACTGAACGATTCCTTTAGGCATTGCTGTCAGACACTGGACATTGCCTTGAAGCATTGTAAATACATGTATATGAAAATGGTTATGCTCAGTAGACGAGTTGCATGTATGTCAACGTATATTTGTTCCGCCTAACAGAAGTTCCACTGTAAACTTTGTTATAAACAATGTCATAATATTTATTCCTGCTGGAACAACTATTCTATACCATTTATTCCGTCAGGAACATTTACTGTAATATTTATTCCAGTGGAAATAATATTCCAGAATATTGTTTCCGTTTGGAACTTATATTACGAATGAACTTCTATTCCGTGACACTTTCTAAGCACAATAATGCAATATATACTGAAAGCTGTAGGTTTTATGGTTTGGTTTTGCTATTTCTTGTTTGAGAAAAATAGAAAATAATAATGACATGGAGGAAAATCAATAGAAGATGCCCATTCATGCCATTTGGAAGCTCAATTTAAAAATGTATCTTGATTATCATTTTACATGAATCTGATTTTGTGACACATAATTGTACAAGCTTGCAAATATTGTGCCATATGATTGTATATCCCAGCTGCAGGCAGTATTGGATATACATGATTGTACAATCCAGGCAGTATTGTGACATGATTTTTCAAACCTAGCCTTATCCATGACCTATGATTTTACATAGTTTCAATATCACAAGAGTTAGTCATTTTACAGGCATTACCTCTGGTTACATTGTTGGTTGGGAAGAAGACAGATTCTGGGACATGTAGAGTTTTAACATTAGCAAACATTGGAAATGACAACTATGTGGAATTCGCTATTCCATCAAACAAAGATGGTCTATCACCTGGTAAACCAATGTGGGCAAATTACGTCAAAGGAGTTGTTGCAAACTATAAAGGTGGGTAAATTTTAAAAAAATGGTGTATTTCATTACAATTTTTAGATTTCAATGTATTTCATGAGGGCCTCCAGGAAGATTAGTTTTATAGGAAACTGTGTTAACCTCTTTAAATAAAGAATATTATTATTATTATTATTATTAAATGTATTTTAGTCATTTCAATGCATATATAATTCTAGCTTTTATTTGTTGAGCACTTATGCATATTATACATTATATTTTTTTGTTAACTTTTTGTGTGCTTCAGTGATAGTCTTGACTTATAAAAATAATAAAGTTTGAATAATATTTTGTTTTTGTGTGTTGTAGGACCAATGTGTTCATTTGATGCTGTTATTGTTTCAACTGTTCCTTTGGGAGGTGGAGTATCAAGTTCAGCATCTTTAGAAGTTGGTACTTATACTTTTCTTGATGAACTAAATGGTCTGTCATCGGATACAAGTGTGCCAAAGACAGAGAAAGCATTGGCATGCCAAAAAGCTGAACATGAGTACGCAGGGATGCCTTGTGGAATAATGGACCAGTTTATATCAATGTTGGCTGAGAAGGATCATGCTCTTTTGATAGACTGCAGGTAAGCTAAAGTCATGGAAATTATATGGTTTTGAATCTGTTAATTAAGAACATTACTTTGTTTTTATAGATCAAGGTAAACATTCAAAACAATATATGATAATCAGATCATCACTCAATAAAATATCAGCCACCCCACACAATGTTAACTTCTTTTGCTTGTTCATTGCTCTGACTTGACAAAACTGCTTCATATTGTGATTATCAGATGTTACTGTATGATATCAAAATAAAGAAAACCTAATAACCTGTATTTTTCAATACAAAAACCTAATAACCTGTATTTTTCAATACAAAGGGATGTGGAGTATACATTTATGTAAGAGACAGCAATATAAAAATAAAGGAGATATGATATGATTGCCAAAGAGACAACTATCCACCAAAGTTTAAATGAAGTGGATGTAAATAAACTCATCATATATATATACCAGGATTGAAATTTTGTATTTGCGTCAGACACGCGTTTCATCTACAAAAGGCTCATCAGTGACGCTCGAATCAAAAAAAGGTTAAAAAGGCCAAATAAAGTACAAAGTTGAAGAGCATTGAGGACCATAAATGTTTGCCAAATACAGCTAAGGTAATCTATTCCTGAGGTAGAAAAGCCTTAGTATTTCAAAAATACAAAGTTTAAAAAACAGTTAATTTATAATTATGACAATATTGCATGTAAGCAATTATAGGCAACCGTACTGCCTTCAGCAATGTGAAAAACCCATACCGTATAGTCAGCTATAAAAGGCCCTGACATGAAAAATATGAAACCAAAGGCATTAAGAAATAAACTTCAATGACTGACAAGTCAAGACAAGCTAAATGGGTTGTTTCACAGATTTTGCAAACAACTCTAGCATGTTGAACTTGAATCATATTCTTAATAGAATAGAGAATGGAAACAGGGAATGTGTCAAAGAGACAACAACTCAACCAAAGAGCAAGTAAATACTGCACACGGAGGTGGGCTTCAAGTGGCCCCTAAACAATAATGTGTACTAGTTCAGCAAAATGGACGCCACACTAAACTCCAAAACATAAAAATGGACCAAAATTAAAAAAACGCACAAGACTAACAAAGGCTAGGTTCCTGACTTGGGTCAGGTGCAAAAATGCGGCGTAGTTAATAAAATTGAGAATGGAAATGGGGAATGTGTCAAAGAGCAGAAAACAGCCCAAGGCTGCCAATGGGTCTTCAACACAGCGAGAAAATCACACACCCGGCGGCGGGCTTCAGGTGGCCCCTAAACAAAAATGTGTACTAGTTCAGTGAAAATGGACGTCACACTAAACTCCAAAACATATATGTGAACTAAAATTAAAAAAACATACAAGACTAACAAAGGCCAGATGCTCCTGACTTGGGACAGGCGCAAAAATGCGGCGGGGTTAAACATGTTTTGTGAGATCTCAACCCTCCCCTATACCTCTAGCCAATGTAGAATAAACAAATACACAGCAATACGCACAGTAAAACTCAGCTTAAAAGAAGTCCGAGTCCGATGTCAGAATAGATAAGAGAAGAAACTAAGCAAAATGACAAACTTTTAGGAAATTTTTGGTCCTCAATGCTCATCAACTTCGTACTTTATTTGGCCTTTTTAACTTTTTTTTATTGGAGCATCACTGATGAGTCTTTTGTAGACGAAACGCATGTCTGGCGCAAATACAAAATTTCAGTCCTGGTATCTATGATACATAAATTAACAAAGGACTACTTACAGTTACTGACATGCCAGCTCCAGACTTCAATTAGAATGATTGAAAGATTATGTCTTCTTAATATGAAAATCAAGCACAATTCCTACAGTCAGGGGTTTAGTATTATGCCATCATTAATTATACGAAAAGAACATAACCTGCATCATGCAAACAACTGGTTTTAGAATAAGTGTGTTTATTTCCGATGCAAAATCAATATTAATTCAACAAAAAAACAGTATCATAACTATATCATTTGTGAATAAGTCTGACTAATGCTTTGGTTACCTTTTGAGGTGAATGACGACATTTTTCTGCTTTGTATAGAATATTACCATAAAAGATAAGATGTGAAATACCTGTACATATAAGATGTCTTTACGTTGATTTATATTTACGAATAATGTCCTTGTAGCGATGATAAAATTTAGTAAATGTTTTTACAAGTTTGTGATATCGAAAACCCTGGTATAAAAAATTTTCAGTAATACAGAGATTTCTTAAAATCAAATACGTTGTTACATACACAAGCCATTAAAACAAGTTGAGATATATAATCACCATACGATGGTGCCAAGGGAAGGTCACCATCTAAAAACAGATATTTAACAATAGGGAATGAAAAATCATCTCTTTTATTGTAAATATTAATATTAAGCTTCCCCTTAGAGATCAAGGAAAGGGTAGTGTTCATTGTTAGTATTAGTTTCATTTAAAGTAAGTTCAACAGGATAAATCTCTTTAGTGTACATGCTGAAGTCATCATTATTGAGAACCAAAATATCATCCAAATATCTAAATGTGTTATAATAAAATTTTTACATCAGATGTTGTTTCCATGGGTATTTCCTGATTTTAGACATAAATTGTGATTCCTAACAATGCAGAAACAGGTCTGCAATAAGTGATGCACAGTTAGTCCCCATTGGAATTCCGATTTAATATGTAGATACATGTTTGTATAGAATACATGTGAAATCAATGATAAATTTCTTAGAGCTGTTGCAAGTCATCCTTTCTGCAAACCGTACTCATAGATCTGTTTAAAGAATTGATATTTTGTACCAAGTTTAAGTTTCATTAAAATGATGTAAAATAATCATGGGTGTCACTGAATTTATCATCAATGCTTTTATCATTCTATAATTGTGTTTGGAGAAAAAAAACATTGAATTTTTTTTTCACAATTTCTATTCACAGCATAACAACATGACACCATTGAATGATGTATTCAACAAAATAAAGTCAATCACATTTCATTAATTTAACTTCATTTAAACAGACATTTGTCTGGTTACAAAATATCACATTTAAAAAAATTTAGGACCTAGTTTGGATGAATAAAGAGTAAAAGATAATTTTGCAATTTTTACGCGATTTATGCACATTCTTTACAAATCTGCACTTCTTTTAAAAATTTCATTCAATAATATTCAAACCTTTTCCATATGCATGAATAATTCATGCATATGGAAAAGGTTTGAATAAATTAGGTTTTTCTTTTTGATTTCAAGTCGTTATTTATAAGAGTTCAACATATTAAAGTTAGTATAAAATCTTATATAAAATATTCCACTCAGAAACCATTCCTTGACCTTCGTAAGTATAACTGGAGCAAAATCACAGTTACAAGTAAAACACCATGCTAAATGATAATGTTAAAAGAGTATTCTTGTAACTGAAATGTAGCTCATACATCTGCAGATCTAGCATGTCTAGAAATCGTACCAAAAAGATTATTCATTTTTGTTTTGGCAATTTACAAATGTAACCAGGTCCTCTACTTACCGGTGCTATTTGCAGCCTATAGATAATATTATTGACATATTAAAATAAAGATCCCACTTTGTTGCCTCACTGAACTTTCATGATTAGTAGGACTTTATGGATTTTTTCGTAGGAAAGAATCTTTTTCCTTCTTTGCAAGATGGAAGTATGTGGGGATACTGCTTTAAATATCTTTGCTCTGGTAGCAGTAAAGTTCATTAAGTTAAAAGACTAAGACAGTACAACCCCCTAGGCTTTGATTATTTAAATTCTAGAGATAAAAATAGATCTAACAATGCTGGCAGGTTACACAACCTCCTTATTAGAGATGAACACACTTTGTTCTTTTTGTTTTTCATTTACTTTGATGAAAAAATCCATTATTTACTATAAACATTTTGTTTAATTTGCTCTGTAGGTCATTAGAAAGCAAACTTGTTCCAATGAAAGACTCCAGTGTTGTTGTTTTGGTCACGAATTCCAATGTGAAACATCAGTTGACAGGATCAGAATATCCAACTCGCAGACGACAGTGTGAAATGTCTGCAAAGACCATGGGAAAGAAAAGCCTTCGTGATGCAACAGAACAAGATTTGGAAGGTAAATACCTTATCCATGTTAACCATTCCTTCATTGAACAAAGGAATTTTTTCTTTTGTCAATGTTCCTGAGGGAGTGAAAATATTATGCTTTGATATTTTATGAAAAATTCTTTTGAAACAATAATCAACTTGGTAAGATGTATCTAAAGACATTGAATAATTTTTATTCTGATTTGATATTAAAATCTCACCTGTATGCAGTTTACCGAAATTCATACATTTACCAAAATATGGCAAACCTTATCCTATTATCTTATTTCAACAGAATGCAAAGACAAATTAGATGAAGAGACATTTAGACGTGTACGACATGTGATAGGGGAAATTTCACGAACAGAGGAAGCAGCTAATGCACTTGAAAATGGAGATTATAAACGGTTTGGAGAACTTATGGTTGCAAGTCATAATTCTCTACGGTAAGATTTTAAGAAAGAATCATATCACTGAGATCCTTCTAAAAGTGAAGAATCACCAGTAACATCAGTTATCTGATTGCTTCAAGAGTTCAGAGTTAATTAAAAGTCTAACTGATAATACACCATTAGCATGGGTATTTAGTGATGGTAGCACCTGTACATCTCTCTGTTCTACTGGCAATAGATTGTTTTATTTCAAAGCCTTTGCAGTTGGAAGTTAAGTCATATGAAACGAGTTTCTTGTAAATATTATGTTAGAGAAATTATTGAACCAATGCATGCTTATAAACTAAAGTAAGTCCTCTATGCGTGTTTTTGTACATTTATTACAAATCTATAATGTATAGTCGACAAAAAATATTTCATTCAGTGATTGTTGATCAAAACTTTTGCTGCTAATTAACTTTTGGGTTTTGTTTACTGAGGTTTACTAATCTTGACCTTGATACACAATAAACACAGAATCATGGAGCATGTGAAAAATAAGTGAGTTGATAGCACAATGTTATTTTCTAAAACTTTTGTTATACCAGTTGTTAAATCATTTGGTGTATACATTTTTAGCTTTTTAAGACCAATTAACTCTTTTTATCTACCTCCTAGTGTACCTTATCTTTTCTTTCATCACATTTTTTTTCCCTCCCACTTGTGCTGTGCGGTTGCCAAAGTTCTAACAAGAAGTCTTGTGGTTAAGGTCACTGCTTAAGGAAATGCTATCAGGGAATTAAGCATTCAGATTCAGGGAGACAATAATTCAATACCAGTACATTTCTGAAGATTTTGATAATAAAAAGGATTTTCTTTAACAAGAAAGACCATATTCATTTGTTTTTCAATAAAACTTTGCAATTTAAGTATATAAAATATAATAAACTTTTTTTTTAGAATTTGACTTATGTGATTTTAAAGTTTACAACATTGATCTCTTTATCCTGGGAGTGACATTATTCTCAATTAACACACACGTATAAACCAATCAACCATTTCTTATTTGATAATTCTGTACATTCAATAACATTTCCATCTATTACAGAGATGATTATGAAGTGTCATGTACTGAGTTAGATCAGTTAGTGGAGGCAGCATTAGAGGTTGATGGTGTGTATGGTTCCAGAATGACGGGAGGTGGATTTGGTGGATGTACAGTTACGTTAGTGAAGCAATCGGCTGTCAATAATGCTATTGAACATATACAGGTAATATTCCACATTTTTTATGACAAATTAAAAAAGTAAAAACATACCACATAAGGTATCAAGCTACATTATTTTTATGCCGCACCTGGGGGCATTATGTGTTTTGGTCTGTGTGTCCGTTCGTTCAATCGTCCGTTTGTTAGTTCGTTCGTTCCTCCTTCATTCTGTCCCACTTCAGGTTAAAGTTTTTGGTTAAAGTAGTTTTTGATGAAGTTGAAGTCCAATCAATTTGAAACTAAGTACACATGTTCCCTATGGTATGATCGTTTTAATTTTAATGCTAAATTAGAGTTTTGACCACAATTTCACGATCCACTGAACATAGAAAATGATAGTGCGAGTGGGGCATCCGTGTACTATGGACACATTCTTGTTCTTGATATTATACAGAAAAACTCTTTCTCATAATATGATATAGTTTTAACCCTCAAACTGTTGCAATGGAAAAGACAAAAAATCTAACAAATAAGCAATTTAATAGTTGAATCATACTTTGATCTTTATCTTTTCTTGATACAATGATTTTTACATTCAAGTTTGTTAAAACCATGAAATTTTTTTTCTTCAGAAAAAGTATAGTGGTAAAGCTACATTTTTTGTTTGTCCACCATCAGGAGGAGCCAAACCAGTCCCTGTTTGATGATTGCTATTATTAGTCAACGAGGATCTTGTTATTGTTATAAATTACCAGTATTTATTTGATATGTGGATAAGGAACTCATCTTCATCATCTTTATCATCCTAAAGGGGATCTCATTATTGTTATGATTAATTTGAAAAGTTGGGAATTAACCTGTTGTTAGTGTTTTAATTTGTTGACAGTGTGGCAGCTAGCTGTTGAATCACCAGTATTTTAGAGAACAGTGCTACCGTACAATGCAAGTCTTAGAATCTCTGTTTTGATTGGAATCTCATTTATAGAAATATAGCAATATATTGTTTGTAATATACGAATTTGGGTTTATAATAAAGAAGAACTTTATATGGTTTTATCAGCTCGTCTTATTTCTTCATTGTTCTTAACTTAAAAACTATCCATAAAGGAACCTATAAAACATGCTGGATATTTAGACAAAAATCAACCCAATTAGAGAAATCAAAACCTAAGAAGAAAACTTTAACTGAAAAAAAACATAATTGAGTGTAATTGTTTGCATAAAAAAAAATATAATATATAGAAATTACAAAATTATCATTCTTTTAAGATTTAAACTAGTTGTTATAGAAGAGATAGAAAATATCAAAACAGGATAAAGAAAGGTCAAAAGAAAGCTACACATGATCAAAATCAAAGACCATGCAGATAATACAAGACATTAAAAACAAATGTCACGCAGAAGATACCATGAAAGATCATGAAATATTAAAAAACAGGTCATGAGGGAAATAACAGGATATGCTAAAAAAAATGAGTAATTACATGGTAAAACATAAGATCAAGTAGAAAATACAAGACATTGTAAAAAGTAACATGTAGGAGATAAAACTCATATTAAAAAACAAAAACATCCAGACAATGCAATTAAAGCAATACAACAATACACAAATATGGAAAAATAAGAAATTCACAAAAACCCTAAGAAATACAGACAAACAAAAACATGTCATGAAGAAGAAGCCAGCTTATCATAAAATACAAATGACATGCAGAAGATGCCAGAATATGATCTATAACAAATGCCCTAGAGATGATAACACTTGTCATGGTAAAAACATGACAGATTAAATTAAATGTTATGCATGAGATACCTATATATGTTGAAAAACAAAGGTAGATGATATCAACAGATGACAAAGAGAAAATATGATGCAGAAAATACAATTAAACAATGCATGCTAAAATCTCTTATATATCAAGAAATATACCAAAATGAAATATAATAAAAAAGTATGCTGACAATACCAAGACAAAATCAAAGCAAATATGACACAGAAGAATCCAACTCATGAAAAAACAGACATTTTGTAGATGATACAAAAACATGATTAAGACAATACCAGAACATAAACAAAATCAAATGTCATTCAGACAGTACCAGAACATAAACAAAATCAACTGTCATCCAGACAATACCAGAACATAAACAAAATCAACTGTCATTCAGACAGTACCAGAACATAAACAAAATCAAATGTCATCCAGACAATACCAGAACATAAACAAAATCAGCTGTCATTCAGACAGTACCAGAACATAAACAAAATCAACTGTCATTCAGACAGTACCAGAACATAAACAAAATCAGCTGTCATCCAGACAGTACCAGAACATAAACAAAATCAACTGTCATTCAGACAGTACCAGAACATAAACAAAATCAACTGTCATCCAGACAATACCAGAACATAAACAAAATCAGCTGTCATTCAGACAGTACCAGAACATAAACAAAATCAACTGTCATCCAGACAGTACCAGAACATAAACAAAATCAACTGTCATCCAGACAGTACCAGAACATAAACAAAATCAGCTGTCATTCAGACAGTACCAGAACATAAACAAAATCAAATGTCATCCAGACAGTACCAGAACATAAACAAAATCAACTGTCATTCAGACAGTACCAGAACATAAACAAAATCAACTGTCATTCAGACAATACCAGAACATAAACAAAATCAAATGTCATTCAGACAATACCAGAACATAAACAAAATCAACTGTCATTCAGACAGTACCAGAACATAAACAAATTCAACTGTCATTCAGACAATACTGAAACATGAACAAAATCAAATGTCATTCAGACAATACTAAAAAATAAACAAAATCAAATGTCATTCAGACAATACCAGAACATAAACAAAATCAAATGTCATTCAGACAATACCAGAACATAAACAAATTCAACTGTCATTCAGACAATACTGAAACATGAACAAAATCAAATGTCATTCAGACAATACTAAAAAATAAAAATCAAATGTCATTCAGACAATACCAGAACATAAACAAAATCAAATGTCATTCAGACAATACCAGAACATAAACAAAATCAAATGTCATTCAGACAATACCAGAACATAAACAAAATCAAATGTCATTCAGACAATACCAGAACATAAACAAAATCAACTGTCTTTCAGACAGTACCAGAACATAAACAAAATCAACTGTCATTCAGACAATACAAGAACATAAACAAAATCAGCTGTCATTCAGAAAATACCAGGAAATAAACACGAGTAGTAACCACGTCATATCGAGGAGCGTTTAGTATAGTGATTTTGTCATAGTTTGGTTAAGTTGGACATGACTGTGTTAAGTGTTTTTAAATGACAAACAATGACACAATATAAACAATCCGTTTTCTTTGCTAAAGGAACTTCTGAGCATAAATTCAAGCTGGTAAGTATCTTTGTTTATGACAAATATATTAGTACATTAAAATTTGAAACAGATAGTTAATAATTTGACACAGATAATGCTTGCGTATTTCAAAACTTAAAAGTGGTGATTCGTTTCTCATGCATAAAGAAAAGTGATTTGTTTACTGTCTGTTACATCAAATATTTCATTATGATATAAACCTGCCGTTAATTATTCCGAAAAATAGCTACATTTGCACACAATTTAAGATTACTAAAAATTCGGTGTCATGGTTTGGTTTTGTAGTGTCATGGTTTAGTTCATGCTCGACATGGTTCAGTTCTGTGATTCATGTCGTGTATGATGGAAGAGTAACGATCAAAATAAACAGACATTATACAACTATTGAAAAACTGTTAAAAACATATTTTCGCCGATACTTTTTTTCTCGCGTTTAACCCATTCTATCCTATTTTGAGGCAATCTTCTTCTTTATGTAGATCCCTCCAGCGTTGGAGCACACACAGGTAGCTGTGTTCCATTAACGAGTTAGTTTTTTTTAATGTTAACGTATTCACAAGTTATTCCAAATTTAAAATGTTGAAAAGAAATCCTCCACTGGAACGTTGCACAGGCACAAAATTTATTTACAGTAATGTACATATTATATAAACGAAAAACTCATACGTTCGCCAGGATGTAGATTCGATTATAAAAGCAATGTTTAGCTTAATAAAATCTATGAACGATCGGCACTAGTTTGACTGTTGAAGAAACTGGATAGAGTTTATGTGTTAAAAGACATCATTCAAATAAAAGCCTAGTAGAGTAAGTCTAAAAAAGAAAAAAATCTGCATTCCGGAGATGTTAAAGATGGATATTTTCTAGATAATGTTAACATCTCTGTTGATAAGCAATGATATATTTTTGCGTTTTAAAAGTTAGTTCTACTCAGATTTAAAAAGTCTAGCTATACGCACATTCAAGCTTTTATCTGTTGTATATTAGAGGTAAGCAAGCAGATATTAATGCTGCAGATAGTTAAGCATATAGTTCACATTAAAATTTTAAACGGCTACTATTTTACTATTGATAATATATATCACATAGACACATGGTGGTAAATATTGTCATTGATGTCTTAATGGGGAGCTGTGAGACCCAGGGAAGTGTTATATCTCGGTGGATAATCTCTTTTTGTGAATTTCATAACAGTATATTTTGGACATGTTTTCAATCTTTCCAAGTATTTCTGGGTTGTTCTGTACAATGCCCAGATTTGCAAAGTTCTGACAGTCTACTATAAGTGTACATATTGCATCACGGTTACTGAAATGAGTTGTCCATTTTGTTTCAGATATAATACGCAACATAATGTTTTGATGGGAGTATATAATGCTATCCTGATGTTCATATACAATGGACACGTTAACACATGACATAGGTCTTCCGTTTCGGTTCTACAATTTGGACAAATCGGATCTTCTTCTGCCTGGTTAAATCTGTGTCTTTGAGCTTGTAATAGATAGGTTCCCGTTAACATGCGGCTTTTTGTAATTGCTTTTCTGATGTCCGAGACTGATGAGGAAACTAGCCCAAACAGAATGTGTGACACCTATTCCTAAGTTTGAAATTGCTTAATTTTGTAGAGTTGATTTTTCTTCACATTCTAAGCGTAGTTTGTTTGTCCAATGTTCGTTTATTGCTGATTTTGTCATTCTTTTCCATTCTATTTTTGTATACTTCTTTTCAAATAATGCAAGAAAGAAAGGTAGGTTGTACATCTCTAAAATTTCTGCTGTTTTGGTAAAGAAGCTTGTTGATCTGCCGGATATATATTGACGCATAGCTAGTGATCTAATAGTTTCATTGTTGCTGTTGAGAACACCAAATAAGAGGCTAAGTTGTCTTTTATGAATTTCAGCATTAAGCGGAAGAGCTCCCAGAAGTAGGTATACTGATGCACATGCTGTTCTTTTAGGAAGAGACTGTATTTGTCTCAAAATATCGAGATGGAAGCTGGATAGAAGCGTCATTTCTTTAGAGTTCACATGCAGAGTTTCAAGCCCATATAGCAGTCTTGGTAGGACGTATGCTTGGAAGATCCTATATGATGATTTAGGGTTTAAACCATTTGAACCATGTACACCCGTCTTTATGAGAGAATACAACGTTCTTCTTGCTAAACTGATGCGATCTTCTACATTTATTCTGGTTTCAGCTTTTGTTGATCTTGTGAGCCCTAGATGAGTTGTACGATCAGAACAATTTAAATCATTGGTCCCCATTTTAAAAGCATCGTTATCTTCTGAATCTTTATGTTTTTTCCAGTCTTTATTATAACACTACTCTTTTGCTGATGGATGTTTAATTGATGATCTTTTGAGTAGTTATCGACAATGTTCAGCATTTCTTGCATTTCTTCTCTATTAACTTATTAAGGGATAAAAGTACGATGTCATCTGCACAAGTGGGACATCCCACATAATTGTTGCCTATATGAGTACCTAGATTTCGTTTTTGCAGATCTAGAAGCAGTTCTTTTATGTAGGCTTTATATAGGTGAGTAGATAGGACACCTCCTTGACGCACGCCCTGGTGTATATCAAAGCTTGTACTTGTGTCTCCTTTCCATTTTACTGTTGATGTTACACCGCTATATAGCTCCTCAATAATGTTCCA